CGCTGGATCATTTGACCCTATCCGGACAAATATTCCTTCGCGACAAACTGATGACTATCAAGGTTATGGAGATGAAATCATCTTGTACATGCGTTGGACGGAAACGGAGGACGTGGCAACCGTGGTAGATGTGACTAGATTTCTCACTCTCTTTGCTTTCCGCTTCGTTTGTTTCCATTACATTGTATGTAATCGAAGCTCTTTATCTCTATGTAATATCTTCTTAAAAACTGTATGCCTTCGGTTATAGCTCATGACGCTTTTTCATTGATAATATATTTTAGTTTAAAAAAAAAGTTTAGGAACCTTAAACATATGATCTTTGGATTTGTGTTGGGTTTGCCCATAGATGGTTTAATGCATACAACATTCCGACACAAGATAAAGAATCCAAACTTGCTAGCCGAATTCTTACAATAGAACATAGGAGGTTTATGTCAACCTATATTTAAATTCATGTAGTTTTTAAATACCTATTGCAAGTAGTTTTTAACCATTTTCCATGTAACTATATGTAACCAGAAACATACATATTTTCTGTGTTTCTAAAAGGGTTGATTTTAGCTCGGAAAAATGAAAGTTTCAAACAGTAAATTGGGAAAAAAATCAGAATAACTATTTGGGAAATATAAATACATGTATTTTCTTGTCTAACCAACATGCAATGAAAAAATAAAACAATTATTTGAGCAATAATCTCATCCATTATGGGTAAAAAGTTTTATACCCCTTCATATTCCACATTCTTATTCTCCCTTATGGACTTTCTTACATTTGCAGCAACTTAAAGATTCCACTTGATAACTCTCTCTCTTTTTGGATGCTCCAAGTTCCTTGATTAAAGCTTCTCCAAAACCCCCTCTATAAATTATGCTTCCTACCAAACTAATGTAGGAAAAACCAATTTCCAAAAAAATAACTTATAAACAAATAATAAAAAAATGAAATACGCAGAGATATCACATTTCAGCCACTCACAACACAACCTCAAATTCGACTACACCGAGAAACCCTTCAAGTGTGACGGATGCAATGAAGTCGGCATCGGCTCTCGCTATCGCTGCTCCGGTGATGGTTACCAAAGCTGCGATTTCGATCTTCATGCGCACTGCGCATTACCATCAGCCTCCATAACTCATCCGTTCTACAAAAAATGTTCGTTTCAGTTTTTGGCGCGGCCACCGGGGAACGAGAGACGGTACTGCAATGCCTGCGAGAAGGATGTGTCGGGATTCGTGTACCATTGCAAGGCTTGTGGTTTTGATCTTCACCCGTGTTGCGCTATGCTTCCTATGGTTTTGGACGATGGAGAGACCAAACTCTTTCTTTACCGCAAAGTTAGTTCTTCTTGTCATCGATGTGGACGTAAAGGCCGTAGCTGGAGTTACAGGTTTCTCTTCTTGATTCTATTATTTTTCTTTTTATATTATAATATCAATTGGTGCACAATATTATGATTTATATATTTTGTTTCAAAGTTGAGAATAACGGATTCAATGAAATAAAATTTCATAGGTTTGTAATCGAAATAATTAGCATGCTTACTGCTTACGTTTTTCTATTGTGTGTGAGTTCGCTGTTTTCATTGGTTTTTAGTCAACATTAGCATATATTCCAAATCAACATCTCCAAAGAATATATTTTTATCTAAAAATAAAACATCTCTGAAGAATAATTTTAATAAAGCAATGCGACTTAAAACTTTGGATTACGTTGATATTTTGATTCCTGAACATGAATGTCGTCTTTATACCGAATATATTATTAGAGCAAAAGAAAAATTAAAGCAATGGCATTCAACACAATTATTTAAAGCAATGGCATTAAAACACAAACTTTCCC